GAACCGCCCCGAACGGGGCTTAGTAGCCGCTACAACAACAACAACAAAGATGTCATATCCAAGAAACAGCTTACGTAACATTCTTGTTTTCAATTACTTTAAACACTGCCTTTAATTGATAAATTTGTACAGATTTGTAAATTTTTTATATTGGGCTATTGGTACAAAATAAAAAAATTGGGACGAACAATTTGTTTGTAGTCCCATGATTGGTACAATAACACGAACTTCTATTGAAAAATTTAAACAAAGTGTTTTTTGTGTTTGGGATAAAGAAAAACATTTGTTCATTCACACAATTGGGATACGATATTCATCAAATTTTGGGCAAACGGCCAAACGTGTGACACTGCCTTAATAATTTAAATTCTAATTTTGATTATTTCGAAAGAAATATCGTAAATGGTTTCTTCACTATTAATTTGTTTTGAATGCATATAAAATATCTACTCTTTATATTTACATAGTGTACTGAGTACCACTAATCGACTGACTCTGATAAGGAATGCTGTTTGGACTCTTTCGAATTTGTGTCGCGGTAAAAACCCCCCTGCAGACTTTTCGAAAATTGTAAATGGTCTACCCATCCTAGCACGACTTTTAAACCATACAGATCCCGATATACTAAGTGATTCATGCTGGGCTATCAGCTATTTGTCCGATGGGCCAAATGATAAGGTACAAGCTGTTATAGATGCGGGAGTATGCCGACGCCTTGTGGAGCTTTTGATGTAAATGTTTAATGTTTATAAAATAAAATATGTTCATGTATTTTAATTTACTAGGCATCCACAGAACAACGTAGTTACAGCGGCACTTCGAGCAGTTGGTAACATCGTAACGGGAGATGATGTTCAAACGCAAGTGATTTTGAACTGCAATGCTTTGTCTTGTATAAATATTTTATTGAGTTCGCAATTTGAAACCATTAAAAAAGAATCGTGCTGGACTATTTCTAACGTTGCAGCGGGTAATAGACAACAAATTCAGGCTGTGATTGACGCCAATATTTTCCCTGTACTTATAAGCATAATGCAAAATGCCGATTTCAAAACTAAAAAGGAAGCAGCCTGGGCAATAACAAATGCTACTAGCAGTGGAACAGCAGAGCAGATAAGATATTTGGTAAGTATATCTAATTCTGCCTCGTACAACTTTATTAAGGTGGAACTTTAATAAGTTCACCCACGTTCCTAAACAAATTTCTAAGAACCCGAGTATTTCCGTTTTTTACATAAATTAAGTCATTACATTAGAAGAAGGATGGTTTAATGGGTCGATTATCGATAGCCATCGAACTTCAGTTGCGTTGTTAGTTGCCAAAACGATATTACGCATGGCAACTGGCAACTTTCAACTGACAACTGCAGTTGCTACAAAGTGTGTATACAGGCGACTACATTTTTGTGGTTGCTGGGAATGTTTTTGGAGCGTATTTAGGAGCGAAGATTGAAGTGTGTCATATATTTTACTTCTTAATAATTTGAACGATATTAACATTTTGCAATGTAGTTTGCTTTTACAGAATATTTTGAAAATAACAAAACAATAACTTGAAATTTTAGTTCCCGTGGAGTACGCCCTTTGGCGAAAAAAAAACGTACACAGATTGAAAATTTTTTCCTTTATCAACTGAAGCAACTCTTTTAAAACTACCAACACACCAAGTTTTCCAAATTGAAGTCATTGCTGTGGCACTTCCCTCTGTGCGAAAAGGTGCGCAAGCTTTTATGAGCGGAGGTATTGAAGTTGAACGAAGAGGTTCATCTGTTTATTAACCAATTATGCTAAAACTCCTTTTGGAAGTCCTCAATATGCTTTGAAAATGAACACAAAACGATAATAAAAGAAAAACCTTGAAAGCATTAACTTTTGCTTACAGTAAACGCGGTAGCTCTAGAGGATTGGATTTATCCTTTAAATGTCGCCTGATTGAGGCCGCGTTCACGCACTTTTCTTCCTCATAAACAAATAATTGTGATGAACTTAGCTTTAGTTGCGTTCCAGATGCTTCACGATATTCACGATTTGCAGGAACAGCTGTTTTCTCCATTAGTAAACCTTATGGAAGGTGGTCACCTGGACCGACTTCCTGTAAAAACCTGCAAATCGTGAAGCATCTGGAACGCAACTTTTATTGCTGTCTTTTCTTTAAAACTCTTTATTTTAATAATTTAATTTTACTCGCACAGCTTGTTTACAGCCGCTTGCAGTTTGTCGCACTGTCAAATTAACTCTACAGCAACTGACGATAGTTGCCATTCGTAATACAAATTTTCGTTCCAGTTGCGTTGCCAGCTGCCAACCGAACCGTGGTTGCGTTGCTATCCGTAATCGACCCATAATTTTTTTTTTTTCTTTACGTGATCTTACAAAAAGATCCTCAAACTTTTTAGTTCCATTCATACATACACTTATGATCAGCTAATTAAGCCAGCAACGTTAATTAATTAATCCCAACGGTTTTTACCCGCCCAACCGACACGAGGGGCGCAGTCCGCACGACCACAATCACGAGTTCGGAGTTGGTTGCGTTAAGACCCAGTCATAAAATCTGTATCGTTCGTTCGATTTTCAAAAATGAGGTGTCACATGAAAGGCCTCGTCCATTGGGTGTGAAATATATATGAAACCATTGGCGCGAAATGATACCTTAATTGTGCCGTGCAGTGGTTTTTGTCAAAAACAATTTCACCGTACTTGCTATGTGGGC